AAAAAAAAAAAAAAAAAGACTAGAAAAATACATCATTAAAAATAACGTTTGAATATGTCTATATATATATCTATATAGTGACATTAAAAGATTAATCAATTCACTACAACAAAATATAAGATCAATTGAGAAATTCTCAATAATCTACCTTTTTATTTCTTTCTTGTTGTATTATCTTTTGCCTTTAATATAATTATTAAGAAATAAAATCAATAAAATAATTACCAGTCCCTTTTAAAACTATATAATGATATATAAATTTACTAATGCCGTGTACGGAGATCTTTTTGAATATTTAAATATATTATTATATCTCAAGTAACTGTCCATGAATTAATATTTAAAAATACAAAATAAAATTAAATAATAACTGGGAAACTTTTAGGTATATCGAGTGGCGGAAAGTAAAATATAGTACGAGTAGTTTGCCCTAAAATTAAACATAATAAAATTGCACAGATTATGACACGTGATTCTTAATATTTTCAATATTTAATCATTATATTACATAGCATGTACGGTTTTGCCCTGAAAATCGTAAAAAGAGATTATATCGTGTCAATATTAATTTCTCATTGAGAAATAATCCTTCCCAACGTTTTAATAATGTTAATCGTTTCAATCGTACACGAGTCATTTCATAAATTAAAAAGTTGTATACCTAAACTCTTAAGTATACGATTTCGCACGGGTTTCATAGTAGCACTTAACCAACGGCAATCAAAGAGATTCTGTGCGTCAGACGTAATATCTTATATTTAAATTCGATCAAAGGCAAGAGTAAAAAAGGCGTGAGGCACATTTAAACAGGGACAGTGTATTAAAACAGTATACACAGCGGAGTTAAGAATGTCGATAGAAATGAAACGGTCGGTTCCAATCTATGTATTATCATTCACAGAGATATGGCTGGCGATTCGGAATGATGAACAATGCTTAGATAAAACGTCATTATCAAATGTTAACCGAATAATTTCAGTTCACGAAAGGTACATGCACTTAACCAATTCCCTTAGGCCATACAATTCATTTTGTCGACAAATTGGAAAAATCGAAGCAAACAATCGTTATCCTTTGCGGAACTTACTTAGCGGTTTATTTAAGTCGGTGTCGGTTGCGGATGAGGTGTACGAGGTGCCGTTGGGATCGCGTTCGGCCTATGAAATCGGTCGAATAATTGGTCTAAAGTCAACACAACCCCGAACCCGGTCCCCGGATCCATATTAATAAAGGAATCCAAGTTATCCTTGCACGCTGTAATGTTTGCAAAGAAAATACAAATACATACAATGTATATAATAAGAGAAATGTCCTTGCGGTCTCGTAGCTTGCGTACTTCTTAATCCTTTTAGTGCCGATTAAAAGAATAATTCTAACCATAATTCTAAAGATCCCATATCTTTAGAACAGATTCAGGGCAATTTTGTATCAAATAACTATAAAGAAAAGAATTTAAATTCTCAATGAAAAGGAAAGTGAAGAATTTTAATAATTTAGCATAATAATTATTTCAGTAACGAAAGTCGAATTGTAATTATAATTATAAAATTGAAAAATGAACACGTTATAAAGAAGTATAGAGAGCCTATACATTCCAAAAGATAAATAACAATTCCACTAAAACGCAACTTTCTCTTAATCAATAATTCTATTCATTTCTTAAGTAAAACCAACGATGATCGGCACTGAAAGGATTAATCATATTTAATGAACATACTTGATGTCGAAATTGACGGATAATCCGGTGGTGTCTTGATCCATGTCCCATCTTCGCGTTTCATGTGATGTCGATCGGAGGCGAACTCCCGCAGGTATACACTGGCTGGTACCACTCTGAATCTTCTATGATGTTCCGGTTGCAGAACCTCGTCCGATCTAAACGTTTCCATCGCGTATTTCCAGAAATGCGTGGGAAATGGCAACGCGCTATCTAAATCGTAAACGACCGCTCTATCGTCGGGCGCGTAGATAAGGATTACGTGGAAGTCCTATGAATACAAACAGACAGGTTTTTTTTTTTCTTTCTTCCTAGAGCCAGTTTTGTTATAGTTACAAGAAACTTAAAAAAAAAAAAAAAAAAA